AACACTTAGGTGACACTAAATTTATAAAACAACATGAGATTAAATCAAGCACAAGAGAAAATGATGCAAGCGAGAGACGTGGTGAACACGAGATGTCCAAGGCCTCTGCCAGCATAATACAGCCCACTGTTCTACAGCAAACTTCCTTTTGTAAGTAGAGCGAGTACGCTGTAAAATAATGATCAAAGTACGGTAATACCTTGGTTTGCGAGCATAATTCGTTCTGAAACAAACTACTCGTATTGCAAGACAGCGCTCGTTTACCAAGTCAAAATGGAGTATTAGAAATGTTTGCTCGTCTTGCGGAACATGCGCAAAACACGTCTCTTGCAATCCAAGGTATTACTACATAGTATAGTAAATGCCTAAACCAGTAAGATGGTCACTTATTATCGTTATCAAGTATTATGCACTGTACATAGCTGGGTGTGCTATACTTTCCAACGACTGGCAGTGCAGTAAGTTTGTTTACCCCGCATCACCACACAATTTGTTATGCTATGACGTTACTATGGCTATGACGTCACCAGGTGGTAGGACTTATTCGGCTCTATTAGAATCTCATGACCACCATCGTATGCTGTATACTGCCGTTGACTGAAGCATTATTTGGCGGCACGTGACTGCTTCCCGCATTGCATTGCGGTGAGCAGCAGATGAAAGAATGCATGTGAAAGCACTTTTCAAACTGCCCGGGGGCAACTTAAATGTCACGGTTCTACTCTGTCCTTTGGCTGTGAATTGATGGAATGAGAAGCAGCAAGACGATGTGAAGAGAAATACAATAGTCCCTCCTTATCCGTGGTTTCTTTCGCTTTCTGCGGTTTCAGTCACCCGTGGTCAACCACAGTCTGAAAATATTAAATGAGAAACTCCAGAAATAAACAACTCGTAAGTTTTAGATGGTGAGTCATCCTGAGGAGGGTGATGAAATCTCGCGCTGCCCCGCCCCATCCTGCCTGAACCATCCCTTTGTCCAGTCTCCACGCTGTATATCTACGCTCCCCGCCTGTCACTCAGCAGCTGTCTCGGTTATCAGTGCTTGTGTTCAAGTCACCGTTGTTTACTTAATAATGCCACAGTCACATAACATTTATTACAGTATATTGTTAAAATTATTCTGTTTTATTATGAGTTGTTGTGAAAAACTCTTACTGTGCCTGATTTATAAATTAAACTGTGTCATAACTATGTATGCCCAGGAAAAAACATAGTCTATGCAGGGTTCAGTACTATCTTCAGTTTCAGGCGTCCAAAGGGGGCCTTCGAACGTATCCCCCAGGGATAAGGAGGGGCTGCTGTAGCTCCTGCTCTCAGAGTGGCCAGGGCTTGGCCTGTGCTGGAACGAGGCCACCATGCTGATTGTCACTCTCTTGTCAGATGAGCGGGTAAAAGGAGAAGCGAGGGGCCTCCTCTGCATTTCTGCCTCTAGGGCAGGTTCGAGGTTCCACATGTGAACATCCTTATGGTCAGCCTTTCCCGAGGAAGGAAATATCTGATGATAGAAGACCACCGGACGGCCCTCTCCTTCCCCTTTCCCTTGATGTCTGGCGATGCAGTCACGGAGGAAAGTTCGCACACTAAGTTTCGAAGTCATTTCTGTTGAGCTCATCAATAATTGCCTTATAAGAACTATTCCATGCCTAAGAAGCATTTTAAGCCTTTTTAAGCTCCAAAGATTAGGGTGAAAAGGGAGGAGGTGGGAGGAAGACAGATAAACAACAGACTGGCGAGCATTCTCCATGCAGAGAGGTAGATGCTGTGCTTTGGTTAGATTAATCCCCAAATTGAAACCAGCCCTGGACCATCCTGAGAAAAGAGAGCCGAGATAAGAGAAAGCTCTCCGCAAAGCCCCAGCATTGAGCTGTTTGTGGAAATGTGGACCGCGTCCTTTCCCTGCAGCCAAAGGACAGAAGACGAGCTTGCAGAGGACGAATAGAGGGTGAGAGTTTCCTAGGACAGTCAGGGGAGGTGGGAGAGGGGACAGGAAAAGGAGCAGGGGCCACCTAGGTGATGCACGCACATTCCGTGAAACCGCCAAGGTGGAGACCACCCACCTGCCTGTTTTCGCGCCACTGGGTTCTGCAAAGACCGAGGGGCAGGGCAGGTTGGCTTCTGGTCCCGGCAGAACACTTGCAGAGGGTCTTAACACCTACCCAAGGAAGCCAACCCTCTCTGTGGCATGCCTGGCTTCCAACCCCAAGACAAGGCCCACTTGGAAGGGGCAGACTTTGGTTCCAGAGGACTCCAAGTCTATGCAGGAAGAGTGCCATCAGAGGGCCGAACCGGCCGAACGAGACAGGGAATCTGAGGGGGGGAGGTCCCAACAGGATCAATGCAGCCTGACTGGAATGCCTGGGTCTTCCAGGAGAGTCGAGAGCTTCCAGAAGGACAGTGCTCATTGGAGGTATTGGTGACTTAAGAATAACAGCCCCATACTGGTTCATAGGCATAACCCATAAAGGCTGAACTGCAACATCTGCGGGTAGGACCCAGCAAGTCCCAGCTGTCAGGAGCAGGGATGTGACAAAATCCAACACACAGCAAAAGCTCTACGGATTTGGGCTGGCAGCAAGAGTGACCCGGGCCACTTTTGTTAAAAGTCGAGAAAGACAATCAACAGAGTACTAGAAGGGAGGTGGCTGCTTACTAAAGAAAAACCTGCAGTTTCCCCTTCTCCTCTGACTGAGGCTTTGAGGAAGGCCAGTTGAACCCAGACCAGTCCAGGAGCCCAGCATGGACGCTGGACGATGGGAACATCTGCGGTCTCGGTGGGTCTGTAGGAAAGTGAGACCTGGAGCTCACTTCAAAGACGACGTGAGGAAGAGCCCAAGTAGCCTGAGCGCCCACCCTCACTGCTCCAGCCTCTGTGAGCACAAAGAGGGGCACCCCGCTGAAGGGGACTTGGGAACCTCAGGGACGTTTGAATTTTCAAGTGCTGCTTCCTGACTCAACTCGCGCGGGCTTCTCTGTAACTAATTTTCTCCACCCACAATCGTGTGGTGAGGAAGGATGTTGGACTTCATGCCTGCCCAGGATCTGAGATATTCCCAGGAGCATGAAGGAGGGGGGTGGGGGGTGGGAGGAACAGGGGAACATTCCAGAAAAAGGCAACAGTCCATGCAACTAGCCTGGGGAACCTGGGGAGAGGCGCACTGAGGGACAGATACTGTCTTAGCTTGTTTGCTAGGTTTCTAAGTGGCACCTGGCATATCCCTTCTAACCTATTCCCTTTTCCTTATTGCATTTTTACCTGGCTTCACCTTTTGAATAAGAAAATCAAATGTATGAATATTGTAGAAAATCTAAGATATTTTCAATGTTTATCAAAACCCCTGAAACATACCCTTTAAGAATAAATTTTAAAATTGTATCCCAGTGATATGCATAGGATTTTAAAAATAATAGCACTAAGTGACTTATAATAAAAAGCCAACCCCCTCTTCTCAAGCCCAGAGGCAACTTCTTTTTAATTTTTAAGATGGTTTCTGTTTTTAGTTCCTCTGCTATCACCTCCACCTCTCCACGTACCCTGCTCCCACCACCACTTCTTGCTTTATCGATGATGCACTTGATCTGTCATCTTCAATTTGGATAGATGAGGATTTGGCTCCCTCAGAAATACCCACCTCTGCTTCCTTCTTCCCAACAGAACCAAATCACAGTCCTTAGTCCCTCTGTTGGTCACCTTTGTTTAAATAATGCATGCATTTATATTATTTTAAAATATGTGCTCTTTCCACACATGCATGTCTATGTTAGTTGTGGTGTCTTGCCGTCCTGTCTCTCAGCATTTCTCTTACCATGTCTTCATCGGCATGATCTCAAAATAGTTGAGCAAACATGATGGGTTGGGTGGAATTACCACTCTCCACTTCGTTGCCCAAAGATAAGCAAAACGAAGCAGAGAGTGGAATGCACGAGGAGCTGGTGTCGCCAGCCCTGGAAACTGGCCCAGGCAAAATGGAGGGACCGAGGTCCACCCCACTTCTGCCTACACACAGGTCTGCCAGTGGATGGTCAGATGCGCAGAGAAAGGCTGCACATGGATGCAGAAAGCCCTGGAAGCAGGGGGCACAGGCTTCCTCTTGCCCATGTGGACCCCGTGTTGTAATCGTCCCTCTTCTCTCCAGGCAGCTCCTAGCTGCTGACTCTGCATCGCCACCCCTACCCCCCCAGGAACCATCACCCACACGAGCCATTGTCAGTTCCCCTCCTGGAGCAGCTGTCCCAGCTCTGCTTCTCAGCTTCCTGCCCTCCTTCAGCCAAGTCATGGAGTCAACAGTCTTCATGGAGTAACCACTGTTTGCCTAGACATTGAGAACACCGGTGAGTCCAAGACAAACACGGTCTCTGCACTCTGGGAGGGGGGCTTGAGGCCATTGAAAGGGAGAGCCAATAAATAAATTCATTGCATATTATGGAAGCACCATACAGGATGTCAAGATACAATACAATAGACCTTCTCTTCTCTGAAAAGAAATGCCACCAAGCATTTAAGCTAAGACCAGAGAATGCGAAGGAGCCAAGCTTGCAAAAAGCAGCCTGATGGGAGGTCCAAGAAAAGCGAATGTGTAAAGGGCCTGCGGCAGTGATGGGGAGCAGGGTGTGTTTAGTGAAACGAGAGGAGGCCAGCCCTTCAGCTGGAGTTTGGCAGACAAAAGGGAGACTGGTCCAAGGTGAGGTCGCCAGAAGGCAAGGGCCAGCCCACACAGAGCCCGGCTGGCCATGTAAGGAGTTTAGATTTTATTCTAAGCACAATAGGAGGACGCTGAAGGATTTCAGCAGAAAAGAAACATGCCTCCCTTTTTTGTGCCTGGAGATATCCTTTCTGGAGAATGGACGGGAGGCATCGATGGGGTTCCTCTTTCCTAACTAGAGACAAGGACACCTCATCTTTCTTGGGGAAAGGGGTCCATTTCCTCTCCAGATATTATCACCTGTGGCTGCCGAGTGGTTCAGGGACCTGGGAGAAAGGAAGATGCTCAACAGAAAAGCTGTTCCAACCAAGATGCCTGCTTGGCCATATTTAATAGAGTCTCTCACATCACAAACCAACAAAAAGCGCACCGGTTTTGCACATCATCGCCCTGGGGTGAGTGGAGCTGGCCTGGGGAGGGAAGGCAGCCGCCTGACAGCGTCCTTGTCCCAGGATTTCGAACTGGGAATCGGAAGACTGGAATTACAGCCAGATGCATTTCACTCCTCTATTAACTTTTTTTTTTTTTTTTTTATCTATCACCTGAACTCTTTCCTTGGTCTCCCTGGCTCCACAGCAGGGATCCCCATGTGATTTCTGCCAGGATCCACCCCCACTTTCAGGGAACAGGGTTTGAGGTGCTGCCCCTCCACTTTTCAAAGCCTTTCCCCTGGTCATCAGAGAGTGCCTGGTTGGGGATGGGTTCTGTGAAATAGGGGACTTTCTCCTCCCGCCGCCCCCTCCCTTCCTTGTTCCTCCCTCCACCCCTCCACTTTTCCCTGTCCTTTATATTGAGTTATCTGTTCAGAGCAAAACCATCAGAACTGCCTGGATGGGATCTGGTCTCCCATCAAAGCCGCAGAACCTTCCTCAGGCCCAGTTAGCGATGTCTGTCAAAACTTTAACTGCCGCAGCCGTTGGAGGCAGCTCTTCCCTTCTTGGGGCTGTAGGGGGAAGTGTCACCTGCAAAGGTACACCATGGGCTGGTGTCAGCCCATAGTTAGGGTTATGGTTTGCTAATTAAAGTGAGGTTTGAGCCAGCCCTCAGCTCTGTAAGGCACTTACCTTGGTGAGCAAGGTGCCCTAGAGTCAGATTGCCTTTGTTCACATTTTGACGACACCAGTGACTAGTAGTAGGATGGACAGCAGGCAGTTTAACTTCTCAGACTCAGTTTTCTCATCTGTAAAATGGGGCTAATGATTGTAGCATGCTCTTCATAGAGTCGCTGGGCAGGTTAAATAAGATTACAATACATGTAAAACACTTAACACCTGGAACTATTCAGTTTCCCTGTAACTGTAACTACTGAAATTCCACCAGATTCTGTGGATGCTGGGATGATAGAGAAGGCACAGAAGTTTCTAGAGATGCCACAGGAAGCAAAGAAAGGGGAGAGATATCATAGCTTCTCCCTTCTTTCTAGTCAATCTTTCACTAGCGCCCCCCAGTGGCCAAACCAAATCAGAAGCCAGAGGGCTGCAGAGCCTGATAAACATAGTTTCTTTCAGTGCAAAATAAAGCAGGGGAAGGACAGATAATGAACCTGAGAACAAACAGGCATCCCCATGCAGTGTACACACGTGTGCATGTTTTCACACTTTGGGTATGCGTGGTCTAGGTGGCATGGTCATAAATATAACTCATCAAGAAATAACAGCAAAGCACTTTACATAACCTTCCTTATTTAATCTTCCCCCTCAAACTCTCTAAAGTAAGAAAACCGAGGCTCAGAGAGAATGATTTATCCAAGATCACACACGTCCTAAGCAGTGGATCCAACACGGCAGCCCAGCTAGTCTTAGCCAGAACCTGTGCTCCCAACCATGCCATCCAGCCTGTCAGTTAGCTTGGGCCAGACTTTTTGTCAAGACCAGCGTCCTGTCTCATTGTGAAGTGGCTGAACGTACCCACCCTCTCTCAGTCAAGAACAGGGACCTGCTCCTTCAGGAAATGTCCCCGGGGAACCCATTCTCCTGCTTTCATTTTTCATGTATCTGCATTTTACCATTTAAAATCACTTCCCCAGCAACACTCAATCTGGTAGTATAAGAAAAGTAAAAAGGATCAATTACACCCCCCCCTCAAAATAAACAAAAGGCGAATAAATAGCTTAGGGGAAGAAAAATATTGAATCCTGTGCACGCAAAAGCAGTGTAAATTAGTTTCTGACAGGAAATCTAAATAATTGCCCTCCCTTTCACCCTGCTCCCTCCCCAAGGCTTCAGGTGAGTCTGGGCAGCTCCTGGGGTAGGTGGGGAGCAGCAGGGAGTGCTGTCTGTAGCTGCCTATCACCTGCCTTCTTGTCAACCCAAAGAACCAGGCCCCCAATGATCCTGTTCGTCCTCAGCATCCAAGACAAGGGGCTGAGGTGAAGAAAAAAATTCGTTCTTTTTTGTTTTCCGTTTTAGGGAGAGTAGGGGAATGGGAAAAGGAGAGATGATCTCATTTCTTAGGTTTTATAATTAATCACTTGGGCTCCTACTAGCAGGAAGGCCAGACTCTGCCCCCCTTGAGACCTCCCACTATTGAATTGTGTAATCCCCCCACCCACCCCCGCCAGGGCTTACTCAGTCCAAACGGGGAGTTCAGCACAGAATCCAAAAACCAGGAAGAGAGAAAGCTGGGAGCAGGAGACAAAGGTCAAAAGCTGACCTACAGGTGTGCTTTCTGTGAGACAGACAAGGTGGCCCACACAGGTTAAAAATCAATGAAAGAGTTATCAACATTTAGAAACTGAAAGAATTCAGGATTTCTGGCTTCTCTTGAAAAAGCCAACTGGCCACTCATAGCCCACATTCCTGCAGGGCGAGGATGCTGGATGCTCTCTAATTCACCTGTCCCCACCACCCCAAATGGCTCCCCACCCTGAAGCTAAGTGTTAATTGCCACTCATCACCATCCTCAGGCTGTTTTCCTTATAGCTTCCCACTCATTTCAAATTACCTGCCTGGCTCCGGTAGCCATCTACATGGCAGCCCCAGTCTCATTAGCCTGTTGCTGTCATTACTTCTGTCCTTGCCACTTGCCCCCAGTTCCCCTGGGGCCACAGAGCCCCACCTGCCCTTCCAAAGTTACTTCTCACTCTGCTTCCACTTGAGGCTTCCATGCAGACAAGTCATTCACTCTCAGTTCCTTGAAAATGCACCGCCCCGCCTACCTCTGGGCCTCTGCTCTCGGTAGTCCCTCTGTAGGCATGCTCCCCGTTTCTGTCCTGTCACAACTAAACTTGAGCCTCGCTATTGGTTTTCTACCGCTGCCATAACAATTTACCATACTTAGTGGCTTAAGCAACACAGGATTATTCTTTTGTAGTTCTGTAGGTCAGACATCGGACATGGGTCTCAATGGACTAAACTCAAGGTGTCAGCAGGGCTGTAGTCTCACTGATCCCCGTTTTTTTGCTGGCTATCAGCTGCGGGCCATTTTTCAGCTTCTAGAGACCACCCACATCCTTGGCTCGGGGCTCTTTTTCTCTATCTTCAAAGTCTAGTCGGACCCAGTCTTTCCTTTTTCTTCTGTCTCATTCCTCTGACCCAGCCAGGAAAGAGTATCTGCTTTTAAGGATTCATGTCTTTAAAGAACTGGGTCCACCCAGATAATCCAAGACAATTTTTCTATCCCAAGGTCCAGATCCTTAATCACATCTGCAAAGTCCCTTTTGCGTATAAGGCTCTGAGGGAATTAGGGCACTGGCATCTTTGGTGGCTATTATTCATTCTATCATCTATCTATCTATCTATCCATCCATTCACCTATCTACCTGCCACACTCCCTTAGACATCTAGTGCTACTCTTACATCTTCTAAAAAGTCCTGCTTAACTATTCTCTTCTAAACTACTGTGGTGTGTGACAATGACAGAGTCACTTGATCTCTCTGTTACTCATTTCCATTGGGTACAGCGGTGTGCTGGTGAATGTTTAACAGCTGGTTCTCCATGGTAGGGGAGAAACCCTGATCTATAGGGTTTGCCAATTTCTGTGATATAAATGTTCCCACGTGGTTGGTTTCAAGCTACCAACGGATGCTACTGAATATAAAGATGTGAAGAGATGTGTACAGTCAATCTAGTGTGAGCCAGCTCCAGCACTCCACTGTGTAAAATGGGGAATTGACTAGTTGATCCAAATATTATTGATGAATCAATGATTTCTCAACCACTGGGAAACCTTGATATCTCTTGCTGTAAGTGTCCCTGTCTGGGGGCTGGTGCCTTCTCAGTGTAAATGTTTCAAAGATATCTCTGAAAAACATATCAGAGAACTGGTTTCATGAGAAAGGGCTGGAAGGAACTCTACCTAGGAAGAGAGTGGGACACGTCTGGGGCCTATGGGCCTCAATGTGATCCCAAAGTCCTAAATCCAACCACAAAATGAGGTTGGCTTTAGAAAAATGCATGATTTTTTTTCCCTAGAAAATAATTCAGATGCAAGTTTTTATTGTGATTTCCTTAAGTACACATAATCAAGTGGAGGAATCGAAGGAAGAATGTCAGCCTCATAAAAGGCCCATCAGGAAGGTAAATAAAGGACGTCAGTAATTTTCTCTTGCTTCCAGGCAGCCCAGGAAAATAACAGCTGCTTTTACTGAGTGCTTACTACTTGCAAAGATCTTCATGCATATTATCTAATTTGATTGGCCTTGTTGATCCCAACTAGTTGGATAACCAACCAGACCCAGGTCGCTTGGCCAGAAAACAGGGACCCTGGGATCCAAACCTTGAACTCCCAGCCCCACTGTTCCCGCATGTGGACACCAGCCCTCTGGACAGGCTCACAGCAAAGGTGTACGTGGGAGCCACTGGGAGGGGTCAGGCTGGAGCCAGAACTGGCAGGAACATGAGTATTGACAGGGAAGGGAAGCCTGTTTTTGAAAGAACCAATTCCCGTGAGCACATTGAAAAACGCTCCATTTATTTATTTGCTGCTCCTGCGGCTTCTATTTACTTACCTCAGGCTAGATTTGGGGACCCGTCATCTCCAGAGGGCGCCACTGCTTGATTCTAAGCCTGCTTCCATCCCCCTTTCTCCTTTCTTGTCCCTTTCCAGATTCCTATTCTCTCATGCACCCTAAGATGATATTTACACATCCATTTCCTTCAGCAAACAGTTATTGAGCACCTACTGTGTGCCATGTGCTGGAGATCTAAATAGAAGAGAATCACAATCTCAGCCCCAAAGAGTCCCCAGGTGTGACACACCAGGGTTTTAAGGCCATATACGCACAAAATGCCACAGGAATCCTCAGGGTAGAGTGCAGACTCCAAGTTCTAGGGGAATAAAGCTTCCCTCAGGAGGACTCTTGAGCTGAGGTTTAAAAGAGAAAGAGTGCAGTTTTTCAAGCACCAGAGGTGGGAGAAGACTTTGCTGGCAGGAGAACCATGAGCGTAAATAAATGAAGGCATCAGAGGGCCTGTAACTGGAGTGTAGGGTGGGCTTATGTCAAGGGAGTGGGGATGGTGGTTGGAAAAAAAGCTAGTGAAGAGGGGGGGAAAGCAAAAGTCACCAGGGGCCAGCTTAGCAGGGCTTCCTGTAATCAGTCTGGACTTTGTCCTGCAGGCAATGGGGCACCAATGATGAGTTTTAAGCAAATGAGTGACACAGTCAGATAGGCACTCATCAGGCAAGGTGCAGTCTGCATGTGAGGACAGAGCTGAGAAGCTGGAGGCTACTGCAAAGATCCAGGCAGGAACGTTGAGGGCCTGAGCCCCAAGCATGGCAGTGAGGGTGGGGCTGAAAGGACAGACACTAAAGATGGGGACACACACAGACACATTCACATGCATCCTTTGCAAGGACCGCTGCCCAGGGGGTGAGCTAGGCCTGGGAGCTGGAAGAAGCATATTTCACCGATCCCAGCAGTCAGAAGAGTAAATGAACCCTGGTGAAGGGGGCTATTCAGACAAAATCACCTGTCGCCAGCTCAGCTGATAAGCATGGATTGCGCAAACGATTACAGAAACGGCTGCTGGGTACAGGCTCGATGACAGCACACCAATCAATATTCAGCAGTTCAGGGAAGAGGGAGGTCAGCAAGAGGAAGAAAAAATCAACGCTTCCGCTTGGGAGGGCATTGCGTTCATTCTGCCTTCATCGCCGCACTGGCAATGCCGGTAAAATGAACTACATTTTACAGTTGAGAAAACTGAGGCTCGGGGAAGTTGCTGATTTGCCCAGGGGTACCAAGCTGGTACCAGATGGAGTTAGAACTAAACCCCCACCTCTGGAGACCAAGTTTAACTCCTGGCCACACTGTCCTGACTTCCTCTTCTCAAATCCTGCGACTCATGCTGCCTGTTCGACGTGATCTAACACTTGACGAGTCTTTAATTGTGTCATAGGGTAGTAATGGCTTAACATTTGAGGTCTGTGGCACGTGGCAGGAGCTGTTCGAAACACTTTATATGCTGCGAACGGACCTCAGCCAATTTGTCCATTCAACAGCTGCCAGGCTCTTTGAGAAATAACGGGGCTTTCTGCTAATTAGAGGAAGGGGAGCACACGGCTTTCCCTCTCAACCTGCTACCTGGTGGCATTACAATAAAAGGACTTCTGCCACACTTACAAAGAGGCCTACAATCACCCATATGTCAGTCCCTGTAAGTCCCCACTCTCTGCCTTTGCAGCTATTCTGACACCACTTGCAGGGAAGGGTCACTTTGTAATCCTAGCTCAATGGCAGGGTCAGCTGGCCTTCTGGTTGGACCAGGAGTCCAAGTCAAGACCGAAAGGAAGTTTAGACCTAGAATTTTTCTCTGAAGGTGGTGGGCGGCAGCTTCACCATTCTTTTTTGTTTCTGCCAGGGCAAACAAAGGTGCGTGCGCAGTCAACCATCTCTCTTGAACATGGCTCATGTCAGCCACAAAAAATTTATTTTTAAACTTGTCTATGCTAATTACCCAGGGCCCTGGTACCGCTTTAGATAGTAATATTTGTAGCCTCCTTACCAGAGTACCGTGGGTACTCTGGAGGGTGGGTCATTTAACAAATGTTCTCAGCACAGTCACCGTGTGCTGGCGTGGTTCCAAGGGATTTGAGCTTTACACATGATAACCCGTTTCATTGTTGTAAGAACTCTGTGAGGTACATACTCATATTGTCCTCATGTCTCCAATTAGGAAACTGAGTCAGAGAGATGTTAAGGGCTGCTTCCCCCGATGGGGTGTGAGAAGATTGAAAAAGTGGGCGTGGCCGGTCCTCACATCTCCATCCGCAGAGCCAAAGCCCAGTGTTAGGAACGTGATAAATACGTGTTGGTGATAGAGAGAAACCACCGCTGAGGCTGTTGGTTTTACTGAACGGCCCAAGGTTGAAGCGTGTGGTTCAGTATGAGCATTAGCCAAGAGCTGTCCTGTAGTCACTAATGAACCCATTTGACATCTTCCTCAGATTCCTATGCATCCTGCGTGGCTCTGAGTTGGTCTCGGCAAAGACCTGTTCTCATAGATTGTGGATTTATCTACGTGGTCTTCCCTTGAGAGATACACAAGTCTCTTATGCATCTTGGAATGCCATAGTCCCAAAACTCAGTGAATTCTCCTAAAATGAGAAAGAATGCCCGATTCGGGGACAGAAATTACACAGCTGTGTGTGTGTGTGTGTGTGTGTGTCTGTGTGTGTGTGTGTGTGTCTGTGTGTGTGTGTGTGTGTTGTTGTTGTTGTTGTTACAACTCTTATCTAACTCCTTTTATAAAAACTTGCTCCATTGATTATCATGCCAGTTTGGAGGAAGATGTAGTTTCCATAATAAACTAAAAATAAACCAACAAATGGAATGGAAAAAGGGATAAAGATAACACAAATTGAGTATATGCTGTGTGCCAGGCACTTTTACATGTATCTTCTCATTTAAACCACAAAAAAACTTATTTAAGACAGGCTCAGAGAGGTTAAGCAGCTTGCCCAAGATCACACAGCAATTAAATGGCTTTGCCATTGGCTCCATCTGATGCCAACCCGGGCTCTTGCCACCACACTGCAGAGATAGCAAGCAAATGTGTTTAGGAAAGATGTCAATGTAAGGCGGTGTCTAGAAGAAGTACATTTTAGAGAGGTGCTCAAAGGACTGCCTTCCCCAAAGAGAAAAGGCTTTTGAAAATATCACAGCACACTCTATTCAGAAAGCTGACAAGTCTAGACAGAAAGGGACACCCAACTCTCAAGATCCCTCCTCTCTTTCAGGTTTTCTATTACATTCAAGGAAGGGGAGGAAATTTTCCAACATGCAAAACGTATGCAGAATTTTACTCACAAATGTTTAATAAATCAAAGATGCACTTAGAACAGGAAACATCACACAGCCCAGGTGATGGTTCTTTGTGAGGCTGAAGATCCAAGGGCCGACCCTGCGTTTCTGTAGAACTGATTGATGGGATGGGAGCGAGCAGGGGGAAAAAAATGCACCCTCTGCCATAGACAGTCACCGAACAGCAGACATTTAAAATGCAAGAGGGAAGATTGAAGCCCACTGAAAGATTAAAGAAGAAAAAAAAGTACAAATGGGTAGATCAATTACTGTGTGAATATCCCGAGGTATTTCATTCACACTGGACTGTGTTGCATTTGGAGGTTTCATAGTTGTACTGCACTGGTGGTGCTCATATCTTTCCAAACCTCATAGATCACAGGAGTCAGAACCACCAGTGACCAAAGACCAGGATGCATTTTGGCGAGAGGGAGGCACCTCTGATTCTCGGGTTCATAGCTTGTCTATGAGCCCTCACCAAAAAAGAGACTTCTGTCTTCTGATCTAATGTGGCTCCCCACTATCCCTTCATCCATCCACCCATCCATCCATCCATCCATGATCCATTGTCAAACGTTTATTGACATTTCATACGAGGCCCTGAGCTAGGCTATGGCCATCTGCGTGACAGACAAAGTGCCTGGTCTTACGGAAAACACTGCAGGCCTGATAAGGGCCCACAATGAGGTTGAAGAAATACACAAAGGCCAAATCAAACGGGGTCTTGATAAGAATTTAGGATTTTATTCTATGTGAAAACATTAAATATTGAAGAATTTTTAAGTAAGGGTGTGACATAATCCAATTAGGTTTTTATTCGGTAAATGCAACTGGATGGTGTAGAGTGAATTTAACAAGAGGCAGGAATGAAAACAGGCATAGCACTAAAGGGGCTGTTGTAGGGGTGTAGGCAAGAGACGGTGGGGGCTTGGACTAGGGTGGGGGCAACAGAGGTGGAAAGTGCGGGAAGCATTTGAGATGCATTCTGGAGGTGGAAATATGGTGACAATTTTGGTTTGGGAAGGGAGAAGAAAGGGAGGGGCCAATGGTGATTTCCAGGTTTTCGATGTGAAGCCATGTATAATACTGGTGCCATTTTCTAAATGGAGAGGATTGGAAGAGGGTATTCTATTCATTCCTCTCATCTTCTAGCTGGCATTTTTTGAGCACCTACTACGTGCTGGGGACTCTACAACAGCTTCTGAGAACTAGAAGAGCGGCTGCATCATGGGTTCATCCAGACTTTTGGCTCAGCCCGATAGATGGACACCCTTTTTCTAGCCATGCTAAGGGACCACATGGAACTCAGGATGGCCAGTGTGTCAGTGGGGTTCCCCGTCCCATTTACCCAACTTCAACCTGGACTCATCAGATCATAAGGTTTTTTAAAAATCAAAATTGACCAGAGGAGAAAAAACTTTACTTTTCCTGTAAAACTGACTTCAGTGTGATGAAAAGCATGCCAAATGGTCAGGGTTTTCTTTTTCTCCTTTGGCCAGCAGGGCATTTAGCCACACATTTGTAGCTCAGCTGATACCTGGGTAGAGTTTATGGTTTCCCTAATGGCATCCTGGTTCCTTGATATTGATTACCCCACCTATACATCTGTCATTGTCTGTGCCTGGACCTGGATGTACCTGGCCATGTACCTGCTTTCATCTCTGATGAGACCAAGGATAGATGGGGGACACTCACTTAAAACTTGGCTGAGCCATTTGGGTTTCCTGGATTGAATATTTCTACTAAGGGGTGGAAAGTAAAGTTCCAGTTAATAGTCGTAGTGGATGCTGCGGGGTGCCACCAGATAACCACGTTCCCTCAGCTGCCAGGCGTTGGCTGCGGAAGGCTCTCAGCTGAGTTCTTCTCTAAAAATTAGCCCTTGACCAGACTTGCCTTGCCCAAACTCATATCCACGGGGATGGTCTGTACCCCAGGACGGGATGATCCTAGTACACCTGGTGGACGTAATTTCTGAGTACACCCTCTGAGGGCAGCAGCGTCCCATCAGCCCAGGCCCCCCCTCCCATGATTTCCAATGTGTCTCCATTATTTTTCAGGGTCCTCTCAAGTTGTGCAATGCTTTGGCTGCATCTGTACTGCTTTCCGCTAGAACAGTGGTGCACACACTAGGGCCTTCCTTTTGTAAATACAGTTTTATTGGAACATAGCCAATATGTTACAGTGTGTATATGTATATATTGTACGATTGGCATCGGTATTACCTGTGGCTGCTTTTGTGTTACTATGGCAGGATTGAGCAGTCACACCAGAAACTGGATGGCCAGAAAACAAACTAAAATGTTTATTATCTGGCCCTTTCAGAAGAAGTTTGCTTTTCCCTGTCCTAGAAAGAACAAATGAAGTAAGGGTCCCTCCCACAAGAAAGCGGTCATTCCTTCCCTGGGTTGGAGATTAGACATATTGAGCACAAGGCCCTTTTCATTTCTGAGTACCATCTCATAAAACGACTTTACTGATAGCAAGGCCCTCTGTTTGCAAAGCACGGAACGTTCTTTGCGAGTTGCTGTGCTTAGCACCTTACCTTTACGCTCTCACATACGCCTCTCAGTAATGCCATGAAGTGGGAACTATTTTATCCCTATTTTACAGGTGAGGAAACTGAGGCCCAGAGAGAGTAAATGACTGGCCCAAAGTCACGCAGTGAGGATATGGCAGAACTGGGGCTTACCCAAGTCTGCTTTGAGTCCAAGTTGCTGTTTGAGGGCACTCTTCTCTGCTTCCTCTCTCTACTGAACACCTAGAAGGAAGAAGACTGCTGTCACTCAAGGAATACAAATAAATGAAACAGGTGGACTGTGGCCCAAGCAGTGGGTGCTGTAGAAAAACATGCACTATGGGGTGACCGGTTAGCTCAGTTGGTTGGAGCATGGTGCTGATAAAGCCAAGGTTGCCAGTTCGATCCCCACATGGGCCACTGTGAGCTGCGCCCTCCTTAAAAGAGTCAACTATGCCATTGTAGCATGAAAGCCATGACCATGGCTGTTCCCCAATAAAGTTAAAAAACAAACAAACAAACAAACGAACAAACAGAAACCACTCGTTAACCTGGTATATCAGAGTGTGGGGCTCACGTAGGGGTTCTGTGAGGAAGGCTTTCTTTAGGGTGGAAGAATCAGCCACTGGAGGACCAGCGCCCCAAGGCCACCTAAGGCGGGACAGGGCCTCTCTCCAGAGGCACGTAACCTAACACATGACAAAATGTCACCCAGAACTGAGAGAATAGACAGAGTTGATCCCATCCAAAACCCCCATCAGGATGAGGGCTAAAAGCTCTGTGTTTGAATTTAAAAATCAGAAACCCCAGGTAGGTTTGCTCCAACTCCCCAGATGAAGACATATTCCATGATAAACTAGCCTCTTTGTCCTCCTAAATTGAAAGGATTAAGTATCTTTTAGAGAACTCTCTCCTCTAGGGCTACGTGCAGAAATGTATTCAACTCCCACCGTAGTGATAACGAAACTTTAGGGAAATAAGAGACATTATGTGGGAGGCCTGTAGTTATTACACAAAGAGCAAAACTGTTCACTTTTTGCTGGTAATAAAGGGAAGATTACATGTCAGGGAAATGAATCCGGATTAAAAAGGTGAACAGCCAACCCACTGGGATCAGTTCCTGTTCACCCAGGAAGAAAAGTTCCTGGTTTGTTTTCTGGGAATCTCTCCACAAAGTCAGAAGGTCACTAGTTCACACAGGGCTGGGGGTGGGGGCAGCGGGGAGGGGAAGAGACACGTAAGGCACGTGAGTGATTTAGCCATCTGACTTGCCTGAAATTTCCATCTCTATTTTTCACCACCGGTGCTGATGCTACAAAGTCTCCAGCTTTGAATCGGAAAACCAGCACAGTCCTCATGCACGCGGCCTCTTTGACTCTTTCGCTGTGATCAGATAGCCATCAACAGAGTCAGCACCACACCGAGGACCCGCTCAGCCACTGTCACCGCCATTACCACCTCCCACCCACAAGGACTTCCACTTCCCATCACCTTGTGTCATTCTTTCTCACACATCACTCAAATTAACTTGCTTACTTTTTCATTGTCTGTCTATTTCCCCCCTCAACCAGAACTTTAAAAGCAAGTCCATGTCTGCCTCCTCTCACCCTGCATTGCCCACGTCTGGCTCACAGCAGCTCACTGGTGAATATTCGATAAATAGTAAATATATTGTTCTTAAATAAACTGAAGGTGTTTAAAATTTCACAAATACTTTAGTTTTTCCACAGTTTTGGGTTTTTGTTTTTTTTTGTCTTTTCCCATTGAGTGGGTTATGCTAGCTTATGTATCCTGGTTATAAAGTATCCAACTGTCACTTTCATAAAGTGGGTATTCACTTTAGATATATTTATTGAGCATCTATATGAGCCAGACTAGTGCCAGGCATCCGTGCCAGGAATTCAACAGTGAGCAAAACAGAGTGCCTGCCCTCATGAGCTTTCCGTCTAGTGGGGTCGGTGGGGGAACAAATATTAATGAAAGAACAACACAAGTGTGCAGTTATGACCTTGGTAAATGCCATGAAGGAAAAACACACCCAGGGCTTCTGGGGAAGTAACGCTTGGGCTGAGATTTGAAAGATACATTAACTAGGTGAGTTAACTAAAGGAACTTGCTGAAGAGTGATTAGGGTTACAGTTAAGAACAGAGCTATGGTTGGAGTAAGGATTAGGGGAAAGATAGCATGAGGATAGCAAAAACTTCCCAGCATATGCATGTGCAATCGGAGGCAGGTGGGTGTTGGCCAAGGGTGAGTTGATGGCTGCCTCAAATAGGATGGAGACAAAATAAGTGGAGAAAAGAAGACAAATTGGGGGTTATTTAGGAGGTAAAAGGTCAGGACTTGGTTTGAACTTCAGGGGCTGTATCTGGTGGCTGGGGCATTGAGTTTGGCTTTCTCCAGGTCAGGTGGTTGTGGGACCCTCCAAGCCTGGCAACCTGGCTTCCAAAGGAGGAAGCAGCCACTGAGCATCCTAGTGTGTCTGCCAAATAGGGATGGCAGAGGGGTGAGCAGGAAGCCCAGTGAGCACCTACCTCCGTTGGCAGCAGGGTTGCAGGAGCTGAATTTAGGACGCCGGTGGAAGATTTTGGAGAACTTGCATAGATTTACTGTGGGAAGTCAGGTGTTTACAGGAGCCCAAGTCCATGCGTATTCAAGAGATCAATTGTGTCCACGAGAACCCACAGTTAAGAGGTAACTGCTGCTTTATATAGCCCTGTCTGCCATCAGTGTAGCTAAACAATGAACACAGGAAACAATTGGCCTCAAACATGAGCATCATGGGTTTCCCCCCTCCCTTTTGATCAAAGAAAGACTCCCATGAAAAGAAAAAAAAATAATTAAAAAGTAAAAACCTTATGCAATGAAATTTGAAAGAAAACTTTTGAAGCCAACAAGCAACCACGGGCGAGGCTTCAAAGGGCCCAGAATCAATGTTTGTCAATAGCAGTTTTGCATCCTTTAATTTATCTTTCATGAATATAAAGCGTGATGTTATTAGGAGCTCATCTGTGCCTTAATTCTGTTTGAGATTTGATGAATCAGAACTCTATTAACATTCTGTCTGAATCAGCAATGTCAGAGGCCTGTGGCAGCAGCCTCACCTGATCCAGGCTTTCATCCTGCAGCTGGGATGCTAGTTAAACATCGGGCCTTCTGCACTGAGCACCCAGCAGCTCCCGGAGTGTAGCCAGGAGCTGGGGGCTTTTTATCGCTGCCACTTTCTTTGGAGATGTTCTACCAGAAAAGAAACCAACCACCTCATGATTCAGCCCAACCCCAAAGTTACCATTTGTTTAATCAAGATAGTTGGTTTGCAAAACATTAAACATTAAACAGTATTTGATGCCTAGTTAATAATTTGCATCCTCTTCATTGGTTCTTGAATCCTTGAAGATTGACATATTCCAACACCACCCCACCCCCCAAAGGCATAGACAACAAAAGAAATTGTATGTAGAGCAAAACAAGAGTCCTTAAACTGCAAAGATGTTTGCCAGAATCTCTGATCTCCGTATTCTGCTGCTCATGCTTCTGGCTGGAACGACAGCCTTCGGGGTAAGTGTTCTTTTCAATTTTCTGTAGTTGAGAGACTCTGGTTATTCGGATGACCAACCCAGCTGGGCCAGGAGCAACGAGAGACTTTAGCTGTGAAAGACTAGTGTGGTCATGTCAAACGCGTCCTGATTCTCCGAGCGAATGCAGGCCTGAAATGTTGGCTGCTGAATTCCATGAAGCCATGCAGCTGACTTGAACCCTTTTAGAGCCGAGTCTCCAGGAATGCCTTGCAGTGAAGGGTATGGGGCGG